GCTCTTATTGAAGCCATATGGGGCCGGTGCCCTTAACGCCTGGTGCAGTCGTGATCAGGGTAACTATGTAACCTCTGTAGGTTAGGCGTCTGGGTACTTCAGCAGAAGAAGAAGTTTTCTCCTTGGTTCTCTGGGGTGGTAATAGCCCAAAGAGCAGAGAGTAGCTCTCTTCGTCCCCTGCCCTCGCCGCACAGCTTCTGAGCTTGACCAGCCGTTTTCTGTCGTTTATCGTTGCTGTGAACCAACTGTATCGATAAAGATGCTAAAATGCCAGGTGTTGGACCAAATGAGGGGCGTCACTGCTTATCAAACAGGTCGTTGATGACGTAGAGCACTTTCTTTTTGCATGGTGTGGGAAGAAGTGAATGAAGAATAAGACTAACATTCTCCTCTCCTTGAATGGTCTGTATATGCCTGTATACAGGAGGGGGGGCAAAAAACACTTTGACCGAACCACATATCAGTAAAGAGTATGCAGCCTAGAGAGAAGACGTGGATATGAGTACCACGGCGGATACCCAAGATGTTCCTCGATAAGCAGGAGCAGGCTCTCGTCCATCACCTTCATGTACACCAAAATATGAAGTCATCTCCAATCGCAGCCTGACTGGAAAGACCTTGGAATTCACGTCACCTCCAAAGCTGCGGAACTTCTGCCACCCACGTATAGCTACCGAGACCAGTACTCTCAATCTGGAAGACCTCCAACATCGAGCAGTTCCTACAACGCGCTACAGTCCAGATATCATCTTCCTCGCAGTCGCAGGCGGGGATTCAGGTCGGATATGGACAGGAAATTCCTGGAAATGTGCAAGGACGGATATTTTCTTCGCGGACCCGCGAACTGAAATGAAAGCTTTCACTTACTTTACATCGACTAACTCGTGCAGAATATGCCTGCTTTTCATGTCAGCCGATCTTTGGAAACTTCGTACTTGCCTACAGGATTGGCTGTCAGTTGGAATCGAGGCGTTGGAAAACTTTCGCACTACTGCGGAACGGACAGAGTGTATGCAGTGCCTGAAGAAGACAGAATATCCAAGTGCGCACGTACGGCCCCTAGAATCCCTGAATCACCGGATTTGGAGAGCTTCAGCAGCGGTGGTCTACACCGGTGGCGAAGAAAGCATCGACCTCGTGAACTGACCGGTACGGATCACGATATCGCGTGGCAGAATCTCCCAGTCGGCGTTCGACCAGATGGCTGTGTGAGGGACAGTTTCCATGTGTTTTGCAATGCGTTGTTGAATGTTGTATGGTAAAATGCTAATCAGAATTAATAATAAAGAATTAAATAATAATTACATAAACAAAGTGTAGCTTATATCGCCTTGAAATTTGAGAAAGAAAGGTGTGTTTTTTTTTTGGAAAACTGCCTTTTCTTTTTTTTCAAGTCCTGACGCTTTCTTCCTTTTCTCTATACGCTATACTAAAGAAACTCTTCACTTAAAACAGGGGTAGGTGCCTGTGCAGACGGGCCAGGCTCAGGCGAGGCTTAGCTACGTAATGTCCACTTGCCTGCACCCTCTCACCAAGGCATCATAACGTGACTTTGTTGAGTCAGAAGGTAACCTTGGTAAGTCTCGCTAGAGCCTGGCTCCTTTCGAGGTTCGTGGTCCCTGGGTAATTCAATGCAACAGATTCCAATTTTGCTTCCCCAAAGAAGTTCACATCTACTTGACGTCATGGAGCTTCTCTAGAGAAGTTAATCTTATTTTCGTGCTGCATGTTCGTACCACTACTAACTACACACACGAAATTGTTTTCCAGGAGCACTCAATATCTTGAATGGCTTCCATGGAGGGATCCGCAAGAGTTCCAAGACAAATCAGGTCTTCCGGAAGCAATTCGGCGACGGGGGAGGGGCATTTTGCACTTTTGTTGCTTCACTAGTTCCGGTTTACAAGTCTCACTCTGGTGAAACCTGTGAACTCTTGTGAAGCTGGAGCAAGCTCGTCAAGCCATCATGGTAAAACCTGTCAACTCGAGAAGAGGCTGTCTAGATGGGTCGACACGTCGATGGGAAGTAGCAAAAAAGCAAAATGCCCCCCCCCCCGTCTCCGAACAGCGCCGGTCTTCGGAGCATTACTTTCTGGAAAGTCAGCAAAGTTTTTGAATATTTACTAATTCATTGCCTTGCTTATTTATCGATTACTGATTTACTCGTTCAAGTGACTTTCTTTTTTCCATGCATTTTGACTCCGCAATTTATCAGAGTTCATTTGCTCTTACTAGCTGATTCATATACGATAGATATTGATGGAACTGTAATCAATAATCAAGGTTATCGATCAGCTGCTTCAGAAGGGCTAGTATGCAAGATCGAGAAATTATTCTCGACTCATCATCAGAAGAATCAATTGTAGGAGAGCAGGTTTGTATAGAAGACGCTTCTTAGGATTGCAATCGATTATCGATTGGTTCTCATCGATTTTATCGTTAATGTATCCGAAGGAATTATGCTGTTTCAGGCTAACAAGCTTTTTGAGATATGTGACAAAGATGAAAAAGGGTATATTACTAGGGTGAGTCAGATATAAATCATTTTTGAAATGAACAAAGAAAAAAGTAGAACTCAATCTTGGGGCATTCGGAGACGGGGGGGCACTTTGCACTTTTGCTACTTCCCATTGTCGTGTCACCCATCTAGACAGCCTCTTCTCGAGTTGACAGGTTTACCATGATGGCTTGACGAGCTTGCTCCAGCTTCACAAGAGTTCACAGGTTTCACCAGAGTGAGACTTGTAAACCGGAACTAAGAAGCAACGAAAGTGAGAAATGCCCCCTCGTCTTCGAACTGCGCTCTAAATTTTATTACTCACTCTGGTAGGAGTATGACTGGTTACTCGATGGACCCGAAAAATGCGACTTTTGGTCTAATTATCGGATTGAGTGGGTGGGGTCTCATTCACACCCCAGCAGAATGTAATCGGAAATCGGAAAACTAAACTGGGTAAATTCTGAATGACGAGTCATTTTTGGATAGTTCCGGATGTTCTTTCTTTGACTGACTTCAACTCCCTCTATTGAACTGTGAACTGCCCAGTGAACCCGCAGCGCACATTGTGATTTCCCTCCGCGTGGAAGGGGAGAGTGGGGCGGAGGGAGAGGAGAAGGGAAAGGGAGGGGAGGGGGAGAGAGGTTAAGGGAGAGATCAATATTTACTTGAAAAGTGAGGCCATTTGATGATCATTTCAGGGTTGCTCAATTCTAAGCAAGCTCTAGGACGCTTGGACCGTCTTGAACTCGGGTTTACTTCTACAGCTCGTGAGCCATTAGACTAAACCTGTTTCAACCAGGTTCGCAAAGCGCTATTGGCTTGTCACGCTCGACGGCGCCAGAATGCGAACGAATCCGCGCGGGGGAGCTATGACTTTCAAGCCACCGGATGTCGGTTGACTGGGGCCCGGGCTAAGAATAAACATTGACTTTTGGCATTGGCTAAACCACTCCGAAGCCATTGCAGAGCTCGCATTTCAAAGTAGAGCTGCGAATCTACCATGGAAGTAGAATGCACGGCCCATCGAGAAAGTGGTTAGACTCCGCTTTGAATGACTCATCGCTGAGTAGTAACAATTATGAATTTTTGGGATGACCTTTTGCTGACGGATACCCGGAAAGTGGAGAAAATTTCACAGCCAGTAGTATCTTTTTGTGAACACTCGGCACCATTTTTTTGTATAGAAATTGTTTCATTCCACCATTTGTGGTCGCCCTCCCTTCTAAGCTCGAGCAAAAACCCTCATCCGACGTTTCTGGCGCAAGGAGTTCCTCGAAGGCACGCCCGCGATCGATATAGAAGTGAAAAGTATAGCATTGTGATGGTAGGTGGTCAGCGGTACGAAACAACCTTTACCTGTTTTGCTGCAAAAAATTGTAAGATAGAAGGCGGTATAGCGGCAATGCAGTGACTTCCGCCTCCAACACTCCGCCCTTCGGAGGTCGCGTTTTCAGTGATAAAAACGAAGGCTGCAGGACATAAAAAGCACCGAAGATCGTCCATTTCTACGGTCATACGTGTTCTTGATCAGGGAATGCAGCCGTGCAGGGCGTATTGAAGAATGGAAGTTGATTGGAACACGCCCAAAACTGAGGATGGAAATTGCGGTTCGCTTTTAGGAGGGTACATTCACGACATGCGTGATGTCGAAAGTGGTGTCAACGAACCTCCCCCAGCGCATCTGAATAAGGTCTCGCTACCCCCCCCCCCCTTCCTACAACACCTACCTACAAATTCATCACAGTTTCTTAGATTTTCCCCTACTTCCTACTACTTTTTCCGGAATTTCCCGAAAATTTTCCTATTTTCCCGAAAATGTTTGGCTGTCGCGCGTGAGGGAGGGGGGAGGGTACATAGTATCACAAGAAACGGGAAAAACGCCGAAGAAGGCCAACAATCGCAAAAAAATTTGTTCACCGATACACAGCGAATTTCCTCAATTGAAGGAGCGCACACAGACCCCCACCCCTCTTCCAGGAACCTTCCCCAGTGGAAAAATACGACCCCCCCCAACCCCTATGTGTTTCACACAACGATGCTGTACCCTGTCTTTAGGGCGGTTGGCATGTTTTCTTGCTTTTTTCCACCATCAAGGTATTCAGCACCTAGTCGATGTACCCTTAATCCACTATCCATGGTGGCGAATGATTGCGGGCTTTGCCTTCCAGTGTAGTTGAATATTCTATGTTCAATAAATTATGCGGCTTTCATAATCAATCGATAAATCAATACCATTAAGGGAATGTCACCTTTCAGAATGATCTAAATGGCCTTAGCGAATTCGTCTCGTTATACGATATCCAAGAGATTCAGAGAAAAGTCGACGAAACGAAAGAGAAGCAAATCACCAGAGAACAATTCGCACAGATAATCAGTCAGTTCTAATTTATTTATCTGTTTCTTCATTTATCTACTTTTTTGTCTAATTCTTTAATTATTACTTTTTTGGTTCTTCATAAAATGCTTTTCTGCGCTGTAAAATGCCATTAGCAGTCGATAGGCTTGTGAGTCTGCAGGGGTGCAGTTCGGCGACGGAGGGGGGGGGGGCATTTTGCACCTTCATTGCTCCTCCACTACTTCCGGTTTGCATACTCTACTTGATGAGATGTGTGAACTGCTGCAAAGCTGGAGCAAGCTCATCGAGACCTGTTAACTCACCCAAAGGCTTTCTACATGGATCAACACGTCGATGGGGATTAGCATAGGTGCATAATGCCCCCCCCCCTTCGCCGAACTGCGCCGTCTGCAGGGACTGAGCATTCCGGTAAAACCCGGCTTTTACCTCCAGCTGGATAGACATTTTTTCGCAG